TTTTTTTTAGTGGAAGACTTTCTGCTTTTATTATGAAGGAACCCATTTCCGCTTTATTGTCAGCTTCACTGATTCCCCACTATTTATCTCAAATCTCTTATATATATATAACTCGAATCGTTCTTATAAAATCGTTTTAGAACTTCATTGTATAAAATTGTCCAAAACTGAATTTCTTCAAATATAATATTATTTTCACAGACGTACCGGAAGTCGTTTCCATGTTTTGTCTTTCTGCGTAACTTGACAGCGGAGGCTAAGAAAGTGACGTTGCAGGATAAACAAACGGATGAGGAGAGGGGGGCTGGTGTGTCGTGACATTTTTGCAAAATATTACGAATAATGCAGTCTTCCAAGAGGAGTGAGAGTGACTGGCAGGGGCTAGTCAGCGAGGTAAGTGAGGGGGAGAGACCGTAAACAGCTGCAGACACTGACCGGTTTTATAGATGTTTCCCGGTGTCCATATGGAAACGAGCCTCTGTCTCTTAGCTTTCATACACCTGGACGTTCATTAATACACGCACGAGCTCAACGTTTTTTGACACCGGTGGGCTCTTCATTGATGGCTTCTGCTAGCTATTCCGTTAAGCTGATAGCATACGACTGTGTTGGTGCAAATACACCAACCCACCCCTATATGATGATGCTACTGTCTACAGATAGGGTAGACCCACCTGTGGGCTCGCGTTTAACCTGTTAAGAGTATTACCGAGTAAGCTATTTGTATATATATGAAGGTAAGCGTGTGTGTATTTTGGCGCTAACGCAGTAATTTAAGCTTGTAGGCTAATTTAATTAGCACTATATGCCGCAAATATCGAATAACCTGCACCTTTATAACATTTGACAGACCATAGAAATAAGAAAATAATTAGCATTTAACGCAGTAATGAAAAAAATATGTTTGTTTGTTTTGATTTATTTTACTGTAACTGAAAGACATGGCAAGCACTGAACTTAACAAAACTACTCCAGCACACCGTGCTGCATGATAGGAGCTGCTATTTGGTTATAAGCTGGTCTGACTGCTATCGGTCTCCACTGTTCATTATTGTGGGCCTTATCTGTACGTCAAACACTTCACTCCAGTGTGTTTTTCCACCTGTGGGAAACAGGTTAGGGTTGGTTTTGTTTGCACAATTAATGTAACCGTTCCCATCACAGAATAAGATGAACATAAAGATACATGATAAAACCAAGAACAAGCTTGATACAGATGTTACATGTCCAGCTGTGGTCCCTGAAATAAACATTACTGCCAATTCAGTCAGCAGTAATATATCTCATAGCACCATGGCTCTCGTGCATTGTTTGCTCAAGTTCTTGGTGTGTAAGCGGAAGTTGGAGAGTAAGAAGGAAGCCCTCCTCATCCTGTCCAAAGAGCTGGACACCTGTCAGCAGGAAAGAGACCAGTACAAGCTGATGGCCAACCAGCTGAGAGAACGCCACCAGGGACTCAAGAAGAAGTACAGGGAACTCATTGTGAGTGGTTCAGCCTTCAAGGTGGTACTTTTTTGTGACCACCCTTTAGCATGAAGTATTTTACAGCCATGAGCAAAATGAATCGACAGTCCGCTCCAAGATGTTGAAATTCATTTTCACGCTTGTGGTATTTTTTGTCATGTTAACAGGATCATAACTTTGCTTAATTTTGCAGATCCTGATCTGATTTTGTCTTTATGTATTTTCTAGATTTCTTGAAGGAATATCCATTTTTTGTGTAATTCTGATTGTTTCTCTATTCAAGCCCACCCCAAAAAAAGAAAATATTTTAAATTTTTTGGCAGCAGCTAAACGTAGATATTCAGTTTTCCTTTTGCACGCTGCTACAGTTTATAGTATTTGCTGTATTATTGCAGCTGATGATAGAAGTCTTTTTTTCATGTTCCAGGATGGTGACCCCTCTTTGCCACCTGAAAAACGCAATCAAGTAAGTTTTAATTTTATTAATACATATGCTAATAGGTACAGTTAAATGAGGTAATGTCTATTAAAAATGTGTGTAATTCATAAACAGTTAATCCAGTGCTTATGTTAAATTCACAGCTTGGTTGTTTATTTGAAATTCTTCGTGCTGGCATACAGAGGCCATTTCTTTTGTGCTGCAGGATAAATATCAGGGTGTAGGTTAATCAGACTCCTCTCTCTCCTTATTGAATGCACTTAAGTAGGTGAGAATCCCAGACTATTGTTGTTCTAGGGTGGGTGTGTCTTCTACAAGTCCTGAGGCCTGCACTATGAAGCAGGATTTTGTCTTTTCCAGGTAACTTCCTGGTTAAACCTGACTTTTCTGTACTGCAAAGGTGGCTCACTCCTTATCAGTGTACATCGCCATGGTAACATATGCTGTGAACCTAACCTGCTATGGAGCAGGATGTTTCCCAGATTAGAGATCAGCAGGCATGAAATCCTCATCTACTGACTGCTCAGTTTTCTGGAAAATAGTGGCACTATCCATGGGACCTCTGTGCACGGGACAGAAGGACAGAATAGGAGCATCTAAAGTTTTTTTTAATGGCATCTGGAGTCTTTGTCTTTCCTTGATCAACATCAGTGATAAATCTGGATTCTTAGATGCAACTTTGTTCCATGATTTGTTTTCTGTTAGCTTCACTTCCACCACCACCACTAGATCTATAGCTGAGAAAATAAAAAGTGAAACTGCCCTCTAAACTTAATGATAGAGTCGTAATATTGACAAGTTTGTTAATATAGAGAGTTTGCATCTTCAAATAGCCTAAACTTTATTAATATTGTAAGCCTTTTCCTGTCTTACTGCCCAAAGCTCTGAAAGTGCTCACACATTCATTCAACACTAAACTGCTGTACAGTGCTTTTCCTGCCATGCTGCTGTGTTATCTGAGGCACTTGTGTTGGTTTTAGTCTGTATTATGTTTTTTTTTAACCTCTTCATATTTTTTGTACAGTATAGTTTTATTTTCCTATGCAAGATGACCTACTCTGATGCCAGTAAACCCATCGATAATTGCTATTTCTAAATGTTGCCAATGCCAACCCTTTCATGTGAACGCGCAGGGGAAACCTTGGATTAACTTAGTGCCTTGATAGCCAGCTTTGTGTGACTGCTTATCCTGACTGCCAGTGTTAGGTTAAGTGAATCCAGATAACAGAAAGATGTTCTGCTGAACTTGCTTTGTAACATAGGGCCCTGCATGACTCTGTCTTATTGTGCTTTCAGGGACAGGGTGACACTGAACAGTTGCTGGTTGAATAGCACTACAAAATACAATGAAATAGTAACAAAACACCCATGAAATGAAAAATGAAAATACTAATGTGTACACTAGATGGCACTAAATAATTGTCTCTTTCATTAGAACAGGATTGTGGACTGGCTTTGTTTTTATCTCTGAAATTTTGTGGATGTTAAAATAGGCATTTTTTTTTCTTGAGTTGAAGAAGGAAAATGTTTGATGCTGATTAAATGTGATTTCCTGGGGTATTTGAACCTTGTCTGGCCTGGCACAAGCTGTTGTGCATTCACTCTTCTCCTCCTCCTGCTCCGCAGGTGAACCTGGCTCAGCTGCTGAGGGACTCAAGGGAACGAACAAAACAGCTTGCCGAGGAGGTGAAGGAGCTCACTCAGAGGCTTGCAGAGGCCCAGGGGGATAACAAGGTGAAGTAACCGGGGGTACTCGCACAAACGTACATGGAGATTAACTATTTAAGAGAAGTAAAAAGTTGAACTTCTCTTTTCTGCAGCTCCTGAGGATGACCATTACTCGACAGAGGCTGGGGGATGAAGAGGTCGGGGTGCGTCACTTCCCCGCCCATGAGCGTGAGGATCTGGTTTGCAAGCTAGAGAGAGCTGGGCTACAGGTGGATATATTTCTTACCTCAAAGCACTTTGATATGGTTGGCAATTAATCCTTCATTTTCAGGTCCATTTCTTCTTTTGTGGAATATTCCTTAGGATGTTGCTACAGGATTAAGGAAAAGGAGGGAACTCCGTCCAGGGACATGTCATTTACAAATTTAATCCAAAAGAAAGACTGTTTTTAAAAAAAAAGTCTAAATCACTACCTAGGACGTTAATTATTGTTAAAGTCCTAAGATCGCTTTGTAACATATTAGCAGTTGCACAGTACTGTCAAATAATACAAATAAAAGCATTTTCTATGTGGGGTGGTGGAGCTTGGTTTGAGCTGTTTAACCATGTGCTTAAAGTTCTGACGTATAACTCCATCAGTAATTTCCATCCACTGTTCACTTTTCCTGTCATAGGGAGTGCTCCAGTGACACTGACGATTGATGGAATAGTGAAACATGTTTGTAGTTTCCACATTTAGCAGGAACTTTTTTGTTGCATATCTTACAAAGCCTTGTGCTTAGTTGGAGATTATTGAAGTAGCTCCCTTTTTAAGCACTAAATCGCTCCAACATATACTTGGTCTTATGTCATTTTTTTTTTATCACATGAAACTTTATGCCGGTGTTGTTGCTGATGACATGATATGGCACAGCTCTAGTTATCCCTGTCACTTCACAACAATGATCTAGGTTTGAATCTTTTGTCCATTCAGGGTTTGAAAATGTGTGTTTCATTAGGTAAATGGATGTAGGATGAACAGGGTGAGTGTAAATGGCAATTGAGTCCAGTAGTAAGTGATTCAGTAGTGACAATTTCTATTGAAAACCAGTAACTGGTGCAGATTGTAACTACTTTAGAGTGTTCTTTTCTGCTTTTCATAGTCTTGGTTGATCGGGTATTGTCGTAACCCTGATGGACGGGCGGTTGATGTAGACATGCAAGTTATTGAATTTGATAACTTGAGGATGAAGCAATGTAGGAATTTTAAATCTATGCCATCGGTGTATCTACTCCATGACCTCGGCTCAAGGTCAGGAGTCAAAGGTCAAGTGTTCATTACACTCATTGAAAGGTTAAGTTGTCCTACGGTTTATGTAGAGAACAATGTAGTGATTTGTATCATTTTTAACTACATATTAATAAGACTGATTTATCTAATTATTAAGTTTCTAAAGAAACCTGACGTTTCTGGAACTGTTCGTTTCTAGTCAGGGCCTCATGACAGACATTTATTATAGATTTCCTCAGTAGACGTAAGCTCAGTAATTCATTCAGTTTGTTTAAAACTTTCCATAGTGAATCACACTTTTTGTTTGGAAATACACTCGGTGCATTACTGTCCATGTGCTTTGAATTTCATTTCAGAGTAGAACATTTTATTATTGGCAGAATCCTCTCTGCACATTAAACACAGTAAATGTATTAGACTGATAAACAATACTTCCTCCTCTTTGAAACCCGCAGTGGAGCCACTTAACTGTTATCTACTAGAGTGGAAGCTGCTCACTTTAAAACAGCAGGGGAGATCCTGAGTTGCTGAATGCTAAAAACAGTGTATGCAGCCTCAGCAAACTCTACTTTAATGAGCAAAAGCTTTGAAATATCCATCACGTGAACGTTTCCGTGGCTTCCCTCACAAACAGTTCTGCCTGCATGCCTTTTTCTAGATGGAGGAGATGGAGAACAACATGAAAGCACTGACAGACGAGCTCCAGGACGTGAAGGCTGAACGCACTGTGTTCAGAGAGAAGGCGGAGCGACTAAATATGGAGCTGAATCATATTTTGGGGAACCACGAGGCTCGCATCATTGATGTGGACGCCCTGTGCATGGAAAACAAGTGAGTTAGAGATGTGCCAGACAGAAGTGTCATCATTTGACACTTTTTAAAATACATTTTTCAGTCTCAATACTATCTTCTAAAACATCAAAACTATTTAAATACCAAACTTCGAATTTACCTAATAAACGTAATTAGTGTAAACCAACTAAAAGGTATGTTAAATCTTGAAAGTAGACATCTTTGACTTCAGTATTAACTTCATAAACTCCTGGCATTTTCTCAGCTACCTTTCATCATCACCTTTTTCAGCAGTCTTGAAGGAGTTCTCACACGCTGAGCACCTCCTGGCTGTTCTTCCTTACTCTGTGGTGCATCTCATCCAAAAACCTTTTCAACGGTGGTTAGGTTTGGATGTCCGTGGATGCCAGGTGTTCCTGATTCTGAACACCATCCTTTTTTTGAGAGGGGCTTTAATGTTCCCCTATTGTGCAATAATAATAGAAGTCAGAAATTGCTGCAGGATGAATTCTGAGTAAATCATCATCAGTGTCACTAGCAGATGTCCTCACAGTATCACACCATCTTCGCCATAACTAACAATGAGAGACACGTGCATGTCCATTTCTTGTTTCTTAGATGATAAAGGTGTGATTTGCACAGTGTCCTCCAAACAGCTCCTGCTGAGATGTTTGGTTCCTGTGAAACTTGAGGGCTCTAATCTGAAGTGCCAATGATTGACTTCTGAGGCTGTAATCCTGATAAACTTCTCTCTTGGTCTTCCTGTCTGGAGGCAATTGTCATGAAAGACAGTTGATAGGTTTTGAGATGGCACTTGGGGAAACTGAATGAACTGACTGACCTCCTTTTTTTGAAATAATATAAACTTGTTTCTCTCTTTATTTAGATGGCCATTTCTCGTTGCTTAACTAAGCAGTACTGGACATGTTCTTCCTTACTGTACATGCGCTTCAGTGTTTTTACCCACGTCTTATGTGGTAGTCATGTTTAATCGGGGTGTACATTAGCTAACGAAAGATCAAAAAGGCATGGAAGAAGAGAATGCTTGGTTTCATTTCCATATGAATGCATTTTTTATGTTGTAACTTCTGTGTTCTACATGGCAGAGGGTGAGCTAAATGACAAACAGCAAGACAAACATAAACAAGAGTCATTCACGTTACCAAATGCTCTTTTTGACACTGCCTCCTGCTCACAGTGCACAGCGATCATACATGTAATGTGGAACTCCTCTGTCTGTCATGTGTGTTTTGACTTTGCTGGGTGTCTTTCTAATCATTGTTCCTGTAGGTATTTACATGACCGTTTAAATCAACTGCAAGAGGAGGTGAACCTGCTGAAGTCAAACATCATGAAGTACAAGGTACAGATTGAATGCTGCTGTTAAAATGTGACACAGACATTGCCTGACTCAGTGCATGTAATTTCTTTACATGTGTATGGTTTTGTGAACGTTCTTAATGCAAAGGAAGTGGCTTTTTACTAAAATGTTGTGAATCAGCAGGGTGAGCTTTATTCTCTTGTTTTTCTGTCCCTGCAGACAGCCCTGGAGAGGAGGAAAAACTCCAGCACATATGGGAAATCAAATAACAGTCCTCTTACTGGAGTCCTCTCAGCCAAACAAGGTGAAAACACAACCTGTTCAGCTCACTTTGAGTTCTTTAAACTCAGACATAAATAGATGTAGTATTAGCTGATCTGGAAACTGCAGAAAGGCACTAATGCGAATGTTCTCAGGCCAAATAAACTCTACAACTGATGGCGTGTCTTGAGTATAACAACCACTTCCTTTGTTTCTGCCCGTGTCTCAATGGATTATTTAATAACTTCTCTTTTTGCCGATCCTCCGAGCCACTGCCGGACACCAGCTGGGTTACTAATTGTATTCTGAGTGGTAAAGAGCACCACTGGCAGGGAAATGAGCCTGCCATGATGACTGACAGTTGCTGGCAGAAGCAGCACAGTGGGCTCTGGAGTTAAAGTTAGGAGAGTGTCACCTAGAAGACATCTGTTTCTAACTCTCCATCTCTGTCTTACTCTTATCATGCTGTGTTCCCTGTCTCTTGTTATATCACCCTGCTTTCTTTGTTATCTATTTTTAACTTTTGTGTAAGTTTTATTGGGGGATTATTGGCATTTCTCTTCCCTCCATTTGTGGCTCTCTGTCCCTTTCTCTTCCCATCCTGATTTGTTCCCCCTTTCCCTCCTTTTTAGTTCAAGAGATGCTTCTGGAAGAGCAGGGCTGCAGTCTACCAGCCACGCCTCAGTCCATCTCCGACCTCAAGTCTCTCGCCACTGCTCTCCTGGAGACGATCCATGAGAAGAATTTGGTCATCCAGCACCAGAGACACAGCAACAGGTATTAAGAGTTCCTGCTTTGCTGCTGATGGCATCATGATGGTAACATTTTACCTTTAACCCCCTAACACAGTTACATTGTTTGTCTAGCTGTTACAAGAATTCTCCTCCTATAAAGCAAACACTGGAATATGACATAAGTGTGCGCACACACACACACACTGACCCTTCTTCTCACCTGGCCTGCAGGATCTTGGGAAATAGAGTTGCAGATTTGGAAAGGAAGCTGAAGACCTTGGAGGTTTCAGGATTATGGAGTCTTCCAGGTGGGTCTTTGAACACCTAAGCTGTTCCACCATCAAACCTTTTATGAATCCATTAAAAACTAAAAGTAGTTTGGCAGTGTTTATTTTGAGACACTTTTGTGCTTTTGGAAAAATGATCACATATGATGAGTAAAACTAATGAATCATATTAATGTATCGTTTGAAGACTACCGCTGAGAACATGTAATCTTTCCCACATCATTAGAAAACATAAATGTGTGTGTGTGTGTAGCCAATAAAACATTAAGATAAGCAAAAGATCAGACGTTGGCTGGTGTCAGATAGCTTTGTCTTTGCTCTGCTCTGCCTTGAAGACCAGCATCCCGGCATCGCCTTTTCACTCTTGACAATGAGACTGGTGTTATGTTTGTAACATTTAATGATGCTGCCAGCTGAGGACCTGCGAGGCGTCTGTTTCTCAAACTCGAGACTCTGATGTCTTCTTGCTCAGTTGTGCACTGGGCCTCCCACTTCTCTTTCTGCTCTGGTTAGAGCCAGTTTGCTCTGTTCTTTGAAGAGAAGTGCACACTGTTGTACTTCATTTTTATTTAATTTTTTGGGGGATTTTTCCTCATGGAATATCTTTCACGTCTAAGAACAAGAAAACTGAAAAACTGGAAAGTTGACTTGTTTTTTCTGTCTGTTTAAATCCACACAGGCTGAAACTCCAGACACGCGACTACTTAAACTTTAAGCTAATCAGCTAAAACAGCTTTTAATAATCTTCTGTTACTATTATAGTCATCATCTACTACATAGATATTCCATTAAAAACAAGAAAAAGATAACGATGACTATAAAGTTATTTTGATTTAAACAAATTAGGACCTCTTTTATTTTAAAGGTCTATGTAAAATCTCCTAAAATCATGGATACAGTATTGTAGTGCATCTATATAATAAATATGATTTTCAATTTAAGTTAAAATCATTTAATAATTGTCTCAGTGTTGTCCATCTGATGCATTTAAAGGTTGTTTAAATGACCTGGAGATCTTTGCTGGGATCGTTCTAGCTGGCCTGCTGGTTTAAATTCATTTCCTCTCCTGTCTTTTTCATTAATGAGCTTTTCTGTTCATAACACTGTGCCTTTCTCTCCTCTCTGGCTGCGTCTCAGGCTTGACCTACCACGTATCTGTGGGAATTGGGAGTATGTATTCCTTCTGCCCCACTTAGTTCATCCATGCCCTCCACTATGTCATGCCAGGACAAATCTGGGCAGACGCCCAGAAAACATGTCACCTCATGCCCACCGTTTACAATGTGTTGACTCCATTGACCACCAGCTCATGTGTCTGTTCATGATACCGCTGACTGAATCAGGCCGACGGAGTGCCACACACTGATGCTCTCGGTCCAGTGGACCTGTCTTAAATTTTACTCACGAGAGAAACCAAAACAAAAAAGCACTTTGTTTGAGTGATGCAGTTGGGCTTCTTTTAAGGGCAGCACAGTACTGTTGAGTAGTAGTAGTAGAAGGATTCGAGGCTCTCATAATACAGATGAGTTTTTGCACCACTTTTTAACCCTTGATCCTATATTTGTATTTGAAATTGAAGTATAAAAAAATGCTGTATCGGCTGTCAGATTTTCCTCAAAGACACAGCTGGTGACTTTTCCTGTCCTGTAAAGACGTCCGACTCTCAGTAGAGCAAAACCAGTCCAAAAATATAAAACTATTTACCAAACGTAATCGAAAAACATTTGCGGCCTGAAACAAGGGGACCGTGCTTGCTCACTTAGAAAGCAGTTCCCCTTTATCTCCACTGGAGGGAGATGTTGTGCCGTCTATGAAGCAGACTGAACGGTGGAGGGGCTGCGGCTGGATGGAGGTGCCCTGTCATGAGACCGTCATTCTCTCCGCCATAAAACTGACAAGCATCCATTACTGAAAATGATTGCCCACATTACAAACACATTTAGGGGAATGTGCCGTTATTAGGGAATTTGTAGACGAGGGCCCAGAGTGCCTGACGACCACGCTGTCCACCACAGTTAGGGAGACAGAGATATAGAGAGAGATGTGAGCGTCTGTGGCCTTGATGCGAGATGAAGTTGGGCTGATTGATATTAAAGGCAAACGGGATAGGATGGAGGGCCTTGGCTGCCTACCTGAGTCCCGGAAAACACTAGAGGTGACTACATTGTCTACGGATGAGAGAGAGCCAAAAACAATAACAGTGACATCGATGCGGTGAGTCAGATAAAGTTGTGATTGATAGCTTCCCCCACCCCAGTCCTCCAGTTCAGCGCCCCCACCTCCTGTGCTGAATGAGTGTGAGCTGAAATGTAACACTGCGAGTGAAAACCTGTCAGAGTGCATCAGAGATTGAAAAGACAGAGGTGGATACAGAATGCACCCTGTTTTGGTCAACTGACAGACTTTTTCCAGTTAAGAGGAAGGCATTTCCTGTCAATGTCGAGCTAGACAGCACTGCATAGTGTAAGCTCCTGTGACTAGCTGACAGCTATGTACACTTCTCCCGTTTGTGATAGTCTTTAATATCCAGTATGATCTGGTGTCACATAATATGGAATAGTCCTTTTTTATGCGCATAAACACACATATATATTTGCGTGTTTGTTAGATGTGTTTCAAAGAGGTGTAGAGGTGGTTAGATGACGATACAGGCAGCTGTCAGTAAGGGTTCAAAGCAAACCACTGGTGCCTCCTATCTCTGAGTTCTGCACGCCTCATGGAGACACAGCTGCTGTGCTCAGTCTGGGTCTTCGTCTGCATATCCAGTAACCAGCATCGCTTTATTACTGGCTTCAAAAGGCAGTCTGGTGAAGTCTTCCTCGACTGTTCTCCTAAAAATAAATCTAAACTGTCCTAACACAATTGCAAGTTTAGATGCAGTTTCACACACTACTGGCCAGTCCTACCGATGTGATGTCGATATATTGCTCAGCATTCTAGCATCTTCCTAAATGGCACTTTTATGTCTGCCCAAAATGGCCCATATCTGCATATCTTTGGCCTTGAATGATGGCAGTGGCTCAGTGTTGGTCTGTTTGCGTAGACTCAGCTGCTGCACCACCTTATATGGATCTGATGTTACGTGTGGGATTAGATTTGACAATACTTGCCATAAAACATCATCAGGCTCAGTTTTCTGACTCGTGGGTCAAGTCTTTTTCACACAGCAGTTGTTATTAGTGCCAAAAATAGACCAGATCAAGCTCAAAGTGTATCTGGGTGAAAATATAAAAGCCTCCACAGATCGTCAGTCTGTGTTGTACTGGGTTGTTGCTGTTTGCAAGAGAATAATCACAAATGATTTGTGGAAATATTGTATTGATTTTTTATGCTTTATTTAGCAGATATTTGGCTAATCGGGCTGTTTTTAGTCAAAAACGATCATAAAATTGATCTTGGTTTTGTTTTATGACAGTTTATTATTTTTAAATATCTTAGTAGTGGCCCTATTGAAGTAACCAAAAGGAATTCAGTTTAACAGCCTAACAGCATATTAATGGCTAAACACAGTCTCACAGTTAAATAATTAGAGGAACTTTCTAGACAACATGACTTTTTTGTTTTTGCTTCTTTTGATTTACCCAGCTGGTACGACGAATTCTAACAGCCTCTCCCTCGCTCGCTGTTCCCATGTCAGTGTAAACACTGAGCATCCATAACAATATGGACTGTTTTCATAACAATATGGTGTCCGTTCACCATTCATGATTCTCATGCATTGTGTCTTCCAGCCATCCATTTTCTCGTTCTCCTGTTTGTTTTCTTGTCGCACACTTGAACGGTCGGAGACACACGCAGAGGTTCGCCTGTTCACAGGCTACGTGCGACGGCAGAGGCTGCTAACTTCCAGCCGAGTGTCTGTGCATATAGTTTTGTGTGTATACTCGTGACGTCTGGTTTATAGTGCACAGTCTCTTTTGAGTAGCATATGGTGTCAGCCTAAGAGGCGTGCAGCCATCACTAATGAAGACAGATGAGAGGGAGCTGGAGCCTCTTCCTGTGAGCACTGCAATGCATACGTGCGCCTGTGTTTGCATGCACCATCGTACATGTGCTCCATCCAATCTAACACTCCTCCACCCTCCAAAAAACCCTCTACATATCACTTGTTTGTTGTTCTCATTTGGACCAGAGAGTAACTGGGAGCGTTTTTCTCCTTGGCGCTGATGTTACAGGGACAAGAGACAGTATCACACTAAATGAGAACCTTCAGCCAGAGCTCCGTCCTACACGTGTCACGTCTCAGCCAAACATGCAGCCCAGAGTGCATCCACCCAAAGGTGAGTGTGTAATTGCGAGTGACTGGCTTCTCCAGTCAATGATAAGAACTCCTACCGCTAATGGCGTAAACACTGCAATTAGGCATTGCATGCTAAACACTCCTTTCTACCTTCCGTGTTTAACCCAAGTCCTTTCCCTTCCCGCCTCCACTTCTCCCTGCTCCTCATTGGTGCAAGATGCCCAAATGCCATGGCATTTTGGAAATGTGAGGCAAATTCTCGCCCACTGACATTCAGAAACTTCTGCCATGTTCTCTTTGAAAGAGGGTGGGGGGATCAGGGTGGGAGGACTATAAATATGGATGCCACTTCAAGTAATGTTGCTTTCTTCTTGCGTGTTTTTGCGTGTCTGTGTGTGCGTGGGGGTGGGGGGACTCTATGTGTGCAGTCTTTAACCTTTTTGCCTGCACATCCACAAATATGGGTCAGTAATCCCCAAAGTGAGAGCATATTTTGGCGAAGAAGCAGAACTAAGCTGTTGCTATTGCTGAGATGCAGGGCGTCACACTTGTCTTGCGTCCCCTTGTCTGGGGCACCGCTGCTATATTTAGCCTGTTGCCATGGAAGCACTTCAGTCACATAAGTAATTGAAATAAGTTTCTACATTGACACTGTGATCCAACTCTGAGAGAGGAAAGTTTTTCTAGCAGAATCAATACGGGCTTTTTCATTTGTGGCTGCTGTTTCGTTTTTTTCATGCATTTTAAACTCTTGTCTAATGCAATTTTTGTTATATCGTTTCGTGTGTGTGGTTTTTGGGTTGGTTTTTTTATTACTGTTATCAGTTATGACAATAATTATTGTCTCTAGCTACTCATTAGAAAGTTTTCCTTTTTTTCTTTTTCTTTAAAAAACTTTTTTGGCTCCAGCTTCAGATCAAGTGAGCGATTAAAATGACCAGTCATCTCATCTTCCTTTTCCCAGTTCTTTTAGACGACAGAAGTTCACATGAATCATCTTGGGAGTGCCACACCGCTGGCGCTGACCTTGGCACAGATGGTGTCAGCAGGGAAGACGCACCTGCACTGCACAGCAGCCTGGAGACTCTTGACAGGGTGGAGACGAATGGGATTGACAGAAGGGGGGGGGAGCTGGTGACCCTTACAGAAGATGCAGGCGTAGAGCTGGAGGAGGGGCGGAGCCCTGTGGAAGAGGCAGGGCATGAGATAGAAGGAGTTGATGATGATGAAGAGCTGGGTTCCACGGTGGAGGAAGGAGAGGAAGCAGCTCTGGCGCTGGATGTCCCACAAACTGAATCAGACCTTCGGTGGCTTTCAATTAAACAAGCTTCTGTCAGTCATTCGGAGGTGGGTCAGCGGCCCTGTGAATCCCAGAACAGTGAGTCCGATAATGTACCTGAACATGAAGAAGCCTCTGTGTCAGCTCCAGAGAGCCAGGCTGCAGAGGTGTCGAGTACAAGAGAGTGGGACGTTCAGTGTCCCTCTGCACAGAGTGACTCCTGTCATAGTGACAACTTGGCATGATCCAACCGAGAAGCTTATTTAAATCCTCGTCCTTGTCGTCGTTATTGATGATTGCATTAATCATCCACTGTTGCATTCCCACAACACAGCCAGTGCTCACGAGCTGTCTTCTCCACCGCTTTAGTCAATAAAAGAGAGAGAAAGCACTTTTTCAGCCACCACTGACAAAGCTCGAAGTGCACTTTGTATCCAGACAAGCTTGTTGCTGCACAGGAACAGAAAATCTTCAAATCGATGGAGTTGCAAACTTCATGCCCTGCAGGAAGAATTTAGCTAGGAAAATAACAAATATGGCAACATGCGTTCCTATGCCCCATATTTCCTTCTTCCTTTCCCCTGCGATAAGATAATCCCACTTGTTTGCTTTCTTCTTCCTAAGGGATGTCAATAAACTGAATGCTGCATTTTTTGTCACTCTTAGATGAGTTCAAATTCTCATACCAAAACTTGTAATGAATGTGTACATAATTGTGAATTATTTAATCTTAATACCGGAGATTCTATTGATGTCTGTTCAGCATTATGGGTGAATCTTATTAATGAGTCCATTTTTATTTTTCCATATTTAACAGTTGATTTTTGAACTACACTACATGTGCCTTAAATGTGGAACTCGCTGATATTTATAAATGTATAAACCTGCAGCATTGGTGGTTGTCACTTTTCTTTTCACAGATTAAGCTAATACAGACTTTCAGTCATGTGAAAAAGAAAGTTTTCATAGGAATCTGTGCACTCTCATAAATACGTACACCTCATAATTGAGTAGCTTCTAGAGCCACATTTAGCAGTAATAACTTTACATAATTATTTTTTATATGATTTTATGAGTGTCTCACAGTCTCATCATTTATTCTGTTGTAGACTTTCACGCACAGCAGAAATTCAGACCAAGCTTTAGCTTTCAGACAGATGGCCTCATATTTGACTGAGAATATTTTGGTATGCGGCGTTCATGGTTGACTGAATGACTCAAAGGTCTTCAGGTCCTGTGGCTCCAAAACAATGCTAAATCGTCGTCCCTCCACCGCCATGCTTGAAAGTTGGTATGAGGTGTTTGTGCTGATATACTGTTTGGTTTCCACTGAATGTGTTGCAGTGCAATATAGAAATATGGAAATCTCTACTTTGGTCTCATTTTTCCAAAGGAAATTGTTCCAAAAGTCTTGTGGTTTGTTGTCATGCAACTTTACAAACCTAAGCCCTGCTGCCATTCTCTTCTGAGAGCGAAGCTTTCTCCAGGCACTTCTTACAAACAAGCCATACTTCAGCTTTTTGTAATTGTATTGTTCTGAACTTTAACATTTAACCTAACTGAGGCCCGTAGAGTCTACGTTGTAGATCTTAGGTTTTTGCAGCTTTTCTGAGAATTGCCGGTTTGCCTTTCAACTGAATTTACTGGGCTGTTCTTTCCTGGGACGATGGTGGCATTATGTCAACACACGACAACGCCAGAGCAGCAAACTGTCCAAACTTCTCCTTTTATAGAGGTGCTCACATCTGCTGATGATCAGCTATTCAAGTGCATTTAATTAGCAGCACCTGGCTGCTATTTCCCTGACAATGCCAGTGGAAGTAGCAAGTGTGTACTTGGTTTTTCCACTTGGCCGTATCTTTATTGGTCCTTTATATCCTGCAGACACACACACACATCAAAAGTAGAACTTATTATTTTAAAAAGAAAGAAAAATGTTTATTTTATGTGGGCGGTAAACAGCGAGACCCAAACCATTAAAATAGTTGAACTAGTTAGCCTAAAGTCATAAATGCAGGCTTTCTGCAAACATGATACCAAGCCTTCTGGCTCTACAGAATGAAAATAGTAGGTGGTGAAAAGTACATTTTTTGTGCCGTGATTGATGAACATCAAGCTTCTACCAAGTGTTAGTAGCACAAACACAAAGTAGACCCAACCAGCTCCTGTACAAGAATATGACTACTACAATATTCACTTATTTTGTTAAGACTTAAAAAGAACATCTGGCTTACCATCAATTGAAATGTTTGGAACGTGATGGGCTGTGTCAAAGGAGTACTTCAGCTTATCTGACAGGGCTTTTGATATATAAGCGAAAGGTTGCGAACCAGTGGTCTTGTGGGATTTAAAGTTGGATATTTGTAGCAGCTCTTAAGCTAGAAACCACCCAGGCAGAAATTTTATCTGATCAAAACTTCAGCCGACGGAGGCTGACTTTGTGAACCTGGTGTAATGGCTGTTTGAGCTTCCACACACACACACATTAAGGTTTGATAGTGATGTTCTGGACCAGAAAATGAAATTTGTTCCAACGAAGTGTTCACAAGGTTGGTGTCTCATTAATTCTAAATGGAGCAGCTTCAGTCCTTTACTGAGTGACAGATTTGAAGTGCTTAACTTGATTCTCTATTTAGAGCCTCACGTGTTCAAAGACAGTGTGATGAAGAAACATTTAGCAATTATTTATAATGATAATTTCACAGTTTCTCTGGATAAAAGCGAGAAAACGTATGAAAAAAATCAATTAAACTAAAAAATATTGATACTGGCATTAGCTATAGGTCAAAAGTGGATGCTTGTATGTCAGTAATTTATTTGCTGCATGCCTTTCTAAAATCAACATCGTCAACCATATGCACATTTTGCTCAGTGTGATTGTTGATCTTCAACATAAACAAAGTTATAAACACCAGAAGTTGTCCTGCGATATAAAGTAGATGCGCAAACACACCCGTTTTGTCTTACAGCCAAAGTCCAGAGCCCAGTGTCTATAGAGAATCAGTGGCGAGGCCTACTCTGCCTGCATGCAGGTGACAGCTGGCCTCTCCAGGCAAACGCAGCGTCAAAGCCAGAATCTATGAACTGCTTATTCTGCAGAAGGCCACTTGCTATTTTTAATCTCTGACACAAAATAGAGGCGAGGAGAGGGAAAGAATTCAAGCTAGGAAGCCGTGGTGCGCACCCAGCGTCGGCCCCATGCCAGGCAGCTGATTTGGCACACTGCAGCAGGTTTAAGTTTATAAACCAGATGGAAACTGAACTAATCAGTTTGCAAGATGATACCAGCTTGCGATTCCTTTCCTCATAAAGTCATTGACCAGTTTTTGATTGTGTGCAAGCGTGTGAATCGCTTAAGGAAATTAGTCAGCTTTGCATATGTTAGAGAAGAAGTAATGTGTTGGGAGAGGCGGGTGACTGTGGAAGAATGAGCCACATCGGGTGCTCTTGTGGGCTGACTCCATGTTGCGTGTTTTTTGGGGGAGGTTTTGTCATATTTCTAACCATGAACTTAAAACAAGATTCTGAAATATTATCAGAAACCAGGCCCATACATCTGCCATACATTTGTTTACTATATGTCTATACTGGTATAAATTATGGGCCACTAATCAAAAATAAGGTCCTTTAGAGAATTTAAAGAATATCCACCTCTCCAACACCACCTTTAGAGAGTCCAACTCCATTCCCATGACATTACTGGCCTTGCACATATGTTTACTGAGTCTGTTGGCATCTGCGACCCTCAACCTGCTGCCCCAGCATGCAACAGACTCATAGAATATTACGAGTACTCACAGATGTTAAAAGATCTCAGCCGCCTCAGAAAATACAGACGACTTTGGCCCTTCCTGTAGAGTGCAGTGGTGTTTTTAACCTAGTCCACTTTATTGTCAGTGTGTACTCTGAGGTATTTATAGTCCTCCACTATGTCCACATCGACCCCTTGGATTAAAGCAGGGGTCGCTGGTTTCCTGGTCCTCCTAAAGTCCACAATCAATTCCTTGGTCTTTGTCACGCTGAGCTGCTGATGATTCTGCTCGCACCATGAGACAAAGGAGTCCACCACAGCCCGCTACCCCATCTCATCACCCTAGCTGGTGCATTCAACCATCGCAGAGTCATCAGGAAACCTCTGAAGATGGCAGGTCTCTGTGTTGAGGGTGAAGTGGAAAGGGGAGAGAACGGTCAAACAACAAAGAACCAATTTTGAATTGTATGTTCAAGCATTTTGAAACTAGCACCTGCCATTTGTTCCCCTTTCTTTAGCTGAATCTGTGAAAAATACCAAAGGTGTTGGGGGAGCATAGGTTTTTTTTGACTCATAAAATCTGGAAAACATTTTTCAGCATGACAAAACATGTTGCCTAGTCCAGTAGAAGCATAACTGGATAGTAAAAACACATAATTGAACACTTTCAGTCATGGATTGGCCTCCCAAGAGTTCCTACCTCAACATTATTGGAGCGGTGTGGGATCATCTTCACAGAGAACAGAACAAAACGTAGCCAGCGTCCAAAGAAGAGCTTTGAATGTCCTCCAGGAACCCTCAGGAACTATTCTTGAAGATTACTAAAAGACATGAGAAGAAAGTTTGTCTCAGAGAGTTCAGGCTGTGTTGAAGAATAAAGATTGTCAAAGATTTTGATTTTGAAGCTCATTAGATTCTACAAACTCTATTTATGTTTTATACACTTCTTTTCTATGTATGTTTGTAAATGTTTTATCGCTGCACCTATTTCCTATTTCCTAGCTTTATATAAAGAAACTGTTTAATACTTGATTTTTTTGTTTTACAGTAATCTACCAAACACTGAGGTCAGTACATCCTCCAGAAATCCTGCATTAACCATGTTATGCCAGAAATACTCCAAAATGTTTTCTCAGTGAAGATGAGTTAAGTGTCGGGATCTGCTATTGAAGATAAAATACTTATCACTAAGATTAACCTTGTATGATGTTATAATATGAGTTTATACTTGCTTAGGATTCAGCAGAGATGCTGCCTCTTTATTGGTGGGTGTTTGGTCTTGTCACCAAGCTGAAAGATTAAGGCCCCCCCCCCAGAGAGCAAAAGAAAATTGCTGAGAGCTGTTGTAGCCAATCATCACCACGACAGATAAAAATGAGGCTACAGAAGTAGCCCATGCCAAAAAGTAATCTTAGCCCCTTATCTTTGACAGCGACATCCCTCACTGTATTGCGAGTAAAAAATGTGCTGAAATCACGTAGGTGTGCGTTTGCATCTGTATATTTGTGTTAAAAGATATCAAGACAAGAATAATTCCTCTGTGTGCGTATGGCCATTCTGTGATTTCTGTCTCTTTGTGCTCATCTGATACCCTTTCATGTTTAAGATGTTCAAATGCCTTGTGTAGTATTGTATATATTATATATAGGCTTGTCAGTATTAACTCGCTTTGTTCTGTTCCCTGGCCGCCCATTTATCGCACTCTGGAGCATGAAAAGTGGGAGACACTGGCCAGGTCACAGCAGTGCTCACTGGCTCTAATAAGTGTGAGCAGGGTGCCAGGTGGATGTAGGAGATTTTGACACCCCATCATCTGTGGGTCTTCTGCAACTTCGAGGGATGGGGGCGTTTGAAGTCAGCAGTTTCCAGGCCAACCATTCAGCAGGGTTAATTACTATACCAACCAGGTGCCCCCTACCAGTAATGATCAGCGCCCTTACGATCCATTCACCATTCACTCACCTTGCTTTTTTACGCTTACCTGAGTTTTATATCATGTAGTCCCTTTGAGACACTAGAGTTCACAGAGCCATGCAGGTTTGCTCTCGGGGTGCTGCAATTTGAGGACTTTCTGCTCTGTTGCTGACAAGGCTGTTAATATCTGAGACAATAGAAGAAGAAGAAACACAAGATACATGTGTCAGTCATCTTTTCTGTACTTGTTAGGATGGAGTTTCTAAAGTATCAACGGTGTACTCTGCATAATTGCACTTTTTATATGCTGTTGCTGCAATGAGTGTGTTTATTTTGTATTTGTTAAAGTGGACTGTTTATCCTTTTCTTTACCATCTGTGTTATGGCTATACTGGCTGAATTCTTATTATGACGCCCACATTAAATATTGCCCAAGTTTGATATAATGATGTCAGCATATGTGCATGTAATCCCGATGGGTCACAGCCCTGGTTTTTGCTACTGTTTAAGCTATATGATGCCAAAGAGAAGAGATGTAGTGCTTGAAAGATTAGTTGTAAAACAGCTGGTTGATCATCTGCAGAGGAAAGGTTTATTTGAAGACTTATAGTCGGGATTCAGAATTCATCGCAGTACAGAAACAACATTAGTGAAGGTCACAAATGATCTTCTTATGGCCTCTGACAGTGGACTTACTTCCTGACATCTGGTTTGTCCTGCCAGATGTTAGTGCAGTGTCCGACATGACAAGTTTGGTGGTGGGTCAGTGATGGTCTCGGGACGCATATCCATGGAAGGATGTACAGTTTTCTACAGACTAGGCAGTAGAATGATGAAATTCTTGAAGCCATTGTCACTCTACGCTGGTGCAGTGGGTCCTGGGTTCCTCCTGTTGCACAACAGTGCAGGCGTGATGAGGTGAGAGTATGCAATGCTCTGCAATGACATTCCAGGAAAACAGACTAACCTGCTGCATCATTTTTTCATTTTGATTTTTGGGCTGTCTTTGCAGGTTGATCATTTTCCTTTCCATCAAACGATGTGGCATCCCTGCATTTCTAACACATTAACCAGTCTGCATCAGTATAGATATCCAGTGTTCCTGTAATTTATCTGAGCAGTGTACGGTACTGTGCAAAAGTTTTAGGTAGGTGTGGAAAAAATGCTGTAAACAAAGAATGCTTTCAGAAATATAAATGATTGTTTATTGGCCCCAAACGTATTCTGTAGCAGGACAACAACCCCAAACATACAGTCAAGTGACCTTATATTAAAATAAAGTCTAAAGCTAAGCTAACTTGAGCAGGCTGGACCCTTGTACGTATGAAGGTCATTATCACCCAGCGCTTAAGCTGCAACATAAAAAGGAGGCTAACAGAGTTTATTGAATATGTAAGATGAAATATAAAATATATAAACCTATATAATAATGAAAAATAAAGATACATCCTCGCAAGACAACTTAGGCATTCCTTCAAGCCTTATGCTACCATCTGAACTTCTGACCTTAGAGCCCAGGCAAAGGCCAGTACCAATTACCAAAAATGGCATCAGTCATAGTAATAGAGAAGTTTCATCACAAAGTACTGTCTGCCCAACTCCTGAAAGTTCTTTGCAACCTGCAATGTATTCAGTTTCCAAATGTCTTAGTGGAAAGACTGAAACTGACAACAGTAACAACAACATGGCTCCCGGGACCCTGCTGGGAAGCAAGGAAAGCAAACTCTGAATGTTGGAGGCACGAGAACTTGTGGACAGCCGATAAGCAAAAAGGCCACACGGAGGGTCAGCACGTAGTCACACCATACAGTCAGATCTCTATTAAGATAGGAGATGGTGGGCCAGTGTGATAAGAGCTGACAGGACCTGCTGATGTGATAACAGTGATGGGGCACCAGCTGCAGATGTCACTGTCCCTAACCAACAGGGGAATTGGACTGAACTTTTTCTGGATGAGAGCGAGGTAGTCCTCAATTATGCTCAGATTTCATAGAACTTTGGTAATTACAGGATACTGCTAATGCAGAAACATTTTCATATTTAATGGTACAGTGGGTCATTTGTTTAGTATATTTAAAAGAGACAAAAAAATAATGCTGTATTGATTATTTTTGCTTCCTTATCTCAAGCCTCTTAACACTCAAAAACAACACAAAAGTTAAGGATATATTAAACAACTCACCTCTGTATCGCTGTCATTGGTCAGAAGTGACTCATCGACTTCTGTTGGGTTCCTCTCACAAGGTTTTATAGCTTCCTCCACAGTAAATGGACATAGACACATATTAACAGCAGAATTAAATAGTGGACTGACAGGGTACGCTCACTACAGCAGCCAAATCAGAAACAAGGCTATAGGACTGTTTTTAAAGCTTTACACTCCCTGGAGCACAATAGCCTCATTAATCGCAAAACTGGGGAGGTTTGGATCCACCAAGAATCCTGGGATATGACCATCTGGCCAAACTGAGTAACCAAGCAAGAAGGGCCCCTGCAGAGATGGCAGAATGTGCCAGAAGGAGAACCATCGCAGCAGCACTCCATCAGTCAGGTTTTTATGAAGCTAGACCGAAAGAAGGAAACTTGCATGAAGGACTTCTGATAGTCTGCCTGGAGTTTACCACAGTGTGGCCATTTTAAAAGTGAAATGAGGAGCAATGCCTAATATTTGCCAGACATAGTTGTCATTGTACTGAGGGGGGGTAAGGGGGTGCTTCTCAGCAGCGGGGACAAGGGGGGGCCAGTCTACGCTGAAGGGAGAGTGAATGCTGCCAAAGCTTGCAGCCAAGACAACACTGGGTTGGAGTCGTGAAGCCAAGACACTTGTCCTTGGCATCAGGACAAGCGTCTGACTGTCCTTAAAGCCCAGACTTAATCCTCCATACAAAATGGCATCCAGTGTGATGAAGCTTGACAGCATCTTCCAGAAAGAATGAGATAGCCTGCCCAAATCGAGGTGTACAAAGCCTGCATAGACCTAAGAGTCTCTTCACCGAGTCCTGCATGACAATGATATAACAGCTCCTTCTGTATTGTAAGCCCTGTGGTTTAAAAAAGACGGAACAACCAGCAGCTTCCTTCAAGTTTGTCTTAACTTTTCACTTTCGAATGAGCTGGACTTGTTTTCCCACTCCACTTCTCCGTCATGCATCCTCACTACTTCGTTACATCCTCCTCATTCCCACAACCTGCAGCGTGCTTACATAGATTCCTGCTCATTTGTAGACATCAAAACCCGAATCATTTTTTCAGTTTGTAATTGCCTAAATAAGTGACTTTCGCAGTTAAGCTAATTCTATATACAGCATTCTGAATGTTTGGGAAATGATTAGCATATTTCCCTGCAACGCCAGCTGCCTACGTGCTAAGCACACTGAATTTACCGTTGTTCAGTATTTCAAAACGCCTGATCCTTATGATATTTCATTGGTTGCCACGAGGCTTGTTAAAACTTCTTGTTAATACGGTATTGGTTTATTATGCAAAGCCACAAACTGCTTTGAAGTATGTGTAGCTAACATGGATACACGCTGATAAGATGGAAATACATGACCTAAGTAGCACAGCAAGTTCAAGTTAACTTAAATATTACAGAATTATTACTTATACTACAAATTACTCAGGCTAATTCACTGTGCCCCTCTCTCAAACTAAAAAAAAAGGAATCATAAAACAACTACAATGTCATTTTGCATCTCTCTGCAGTTTTGTTTTGTGTGTCTGTGATAATTTGCCATCTCTTTGTGCTGGCTTTGCATAACTTTGTAGTCTTTTGTTGTCATTTTCTGTCTCTTTTTAGCTGCACTGTCTCTTCAGGTTGGGCTTCCCACTGTGTATTTCTTTTGTAGTACAGTTGTGCATCCACCTCTTTGTAGCTGCTTTAGCTTTGAGTCTCTTTGTGGTCATTCTGTGCTTCAGGTTCTGAAATGTTACTTTAGGTGATATAAAGGAAAGTTTCAACAAAAGTCCTGGATTTGATTTGGATTGAAGCGAGATATGTTAGCATTCACTTAAAACAAAGGCTGATGAGGACCTCATGACCCCTGTGATCCCTGGCGCTGGCCATCCTTTCTCCATATTTTCTATCCTAGACAGATTTAAGATACTGCCTGGCTATGTTGATTTGCCCCCCATCCATGCTCTCACTGCCAGATATGTTTGCCAGAGCTATTTCATACACAATTGCACTGATATTTAATAGCCTGTGAAAGAGAGGCAGACAGCAAGGTAGAAAATTGCCCAGTATTTTAAATTATCCTTAACTTTTATACCAATATTACTTTATAGCTGTAGCGTTGACTTCTCTTTAACCATCACCATCAATCCATCAGCTATAAGCAATGAACCATCTGCTATTATACAGCTTGTTAGCAAAGTCCAGGCTGAGTAATTACCTGTGTCAAAAGCGATGATTGTCTTCTGCGACGGATTATTCATCACTTTATAACTGCAGAGACTGAAAGAGGGATTTTGAAGTCATTCTAACAGAGCCTGCGAGTATTTTCCACAGTTGTCTGCTTAATTCACACAGACACACACATACAGCATGAATTATTGATAAGAGCCCTCAAACTTATTGGGTTAGTTTTAGACAAGTGGTACATGTGTATGAAACTGAAGATAATAATTAGGCTAATGCACCCATTAATGAAAAACTGAGTGCATGACAATACATATCCTGATGGAGGCAGCCAAAAAAGGGTTTTCAAAGAGTGTTAATTAAGAGGGCTTTAAATGGATACGAGGACCCTGCGATGGACCGGCGACCTGTGAAGGGTGGATGGATGAATGAATGGATCCACTCACCTCTTTTCAATCTAGATGTGTTTATACACCACTCTAAATTTAGTCATTAGTTATTATTAACTTCTGGAACTCTTCCACATTGAGTCGTTTGTCCTGTCTCCCTCCCCTCACCTCCAACTAGTCAGGGCAGATGGCTGCCCTTCCCTGAGCCTGGTCCTGCTGGAGGGTTCTTCCTGTTAAAAGGGAGTTTTTCCTTCCCGCTGCCGCCAAGTGCTTGTTTACTTTGTTTTTATTGTCTTTAACTTACAATAAAAAGTGGCTTGAGGTGACTGTTGTTGTGATTTGGCGCTATATAAATAAAATTGAAATTAACCGATGGATATAAGCTCATTACTTAAATCAAACTGCAAATTGTTTTGCATGTGTTATTTGTTATTCGTGAAGTCAGTGTTTGCCTTAAGTTAACTGAAAATAACAGAATATATGAACATGCACAAACAGAGGCTTTTGAAGTTTATTAGGCACGTAGAAAAGCAACTTTGCAGTGGCATGTGAACCGGCAGCTCTGCTCTGGTTATGTGAAAAATATTAAGTAGATACAAATATGTAAATTTAAAGGTTAAAATACAGCCTTGAGTCCCCGCAGAGGCTTTAAGGGTCGCCACCAGTTTTACTCCCCAGAACAAATGTTTGCATTCTGATGTGTTCATATAGATTTTTTAAATGTATGCACATTAAAAATATTTCCAGATGATTTGATCTTTTGTTGACACAAAGCTCTGAACTGAAGGGGGCGAGCCTGAAGTAGTGCCCGTGTCTGTATGTGTGCGTATGATGTTGTTTGGCGGGCACATCATCCCGACTCTGCTCGAGAGAAGCAGCGGACCTCCTGCATCCTCCCCCACATCCCAAACCCGCTGCACTGTATCTGCAGGCACCGCGATAACCTTCATGGACCGCATTATGCGCACGAGTCAGTAAAGTCGGGACGATTTTGTTTGGGTTTTTTCTTTTTACAGCGTGCTTAGCGGGTCTCACAGTAAAATCGCGGCTTTCGAGTCATTTTTGTCAAGGATAATGATGATGAGGTAAGAGCTTCCGGTCGCCATTTTGCCGGTGTGTAACGGTTTGGGCAGAATCTGAATGGAATAATTAGCCGCTGTTTGGACTGATACCAGTGGGAGATGTCTAAGCGACATCGTTTAGATCTGGGTGACGATCATTCGTCGAGTAAAAAGAGGTCCTCCGATGGGTATGTGACGGTAGTCCTCATATTTTAGCGTTAAGCCGTTGTGCTGTTTTTAAACCTCTGCAGCCTGATTGTTGTTGCTCTGACGCTAACTAGCTATGCTAGCACGTATGCTAAACACGGTCAGCTAGCAATTTAGCTCCAGCAGGTAACAAAGTGTTCA